CCATGGAGAATCGGTAAATGCTCTTAAAAGCCAAGGGCTAAATAACTGAACTCTGGATTATCCCATTTTGAGAACTACTGTAATATTTAATAAAAGTAACAATTCTTTAACGGAGTTAATCAAAAGAGTACAATTCAGGTTGCCCTCTCTTACACACTTGAAATCCAACCTTCTCATTTACCTGATACAGTCCTTCCTTTTTCTGACCTACTCTCTTCATGCAGCATCTGACTTTGAAGCAATCACTGACCCTTGGGTAGTACAGCACTAGCATCTCTATTAATGCCACTCCTGGGCCATCACAGGTGCAGCACTGCAGCCCTCGTATCATGATAAAATTCAGTGAGGAATTTTGAATATTAAGTTTTTTAGCTATACAGAGCAGCATTTTGTAAGCAGCTGAAAGATTTAATTTTTAAGAACAAATGGCTGGTTGTCTCTGATGCGGTTGCTATTCAATATTAAAGGACCAGGTGGTGGCAGCAGAAGCGGCAGTGATATACTGAAGTCTCAGATTGAGATTCAGGAAGCATATTGGGAATTGGGCTACTTTCCCAGAAGTGCAGTGAGATGTGTGAAAAGGATGGGAAAAGTCCTGACCACATAGCAGGGCAATGGAAAACATTCCCATTGCCAGTATTAAAGAAGAAAAGGCAGTAGAGCTCTATAAAACTTAATGCAATAACTAAGTAACCTCCCCTCCTAGCAAACAGACTACCATTTCAAACCCCCCAAAATTAACTCTAGATGATGCCCTAATTACTACACTAGGGTATGTCTACACTAGCCCCCTAGTTCGAACTAGGGAGGCTAATGTAGGCATTCGAACTTGCAAATGAAGCCCGGGATTTAAATATCCTGGGCTTTATTTGCATGTTCCCGTCCGGTCGCCATTTTTAAATGCCACTAGTCTGGACTAACTGCCCGTGGCTACACACAGCAGTTAAACGGTAATTAGAACTAAGTCCTTAGTTTGAATTATCTGTTACTCCTCCTGGAATGAGTTCGAACTAGGGGGCTTGTGTAGACATACCCCTAAAGATTATGGGCTGTGCCAGTACTCAGTTGTAAAAAGTGCTGACAGTAAAAGTAGTAATGTTTCCTCAATCCTCAGTAATCTTTGGGGGATGCTGAACAATTTTCTGTCCGCTAAAACAGACATGTACCTTAGAGGAATTAATGCCTTTAAACCCTGAACACCTTGGAAATGCAACTGTGTGAACTTTGAGTTCACTCACTGACAAGATGACAGATCCTGCTGGGTTTGTCTACCCCAGTTAATACACATTTTATAACTGCATTCCAAAGTGCACTTACTTTGATTGAAAAACAGATGTCTGTGAGAGGTAAGCAATAATACACTGAAGTGTCTGTGTACTGATTCAGGTATCTTTACACAGACATTATCTACATTTTTTAAACTATACACATGAATAAACAATTTCCTACACATACAGTCATCTCATACTTTTTAATGCATTGTACTAAAAAGTCAATCACATATCTATCCTTGTTACTATTTAAGTAGTATTTACATCCATTAATTACTGAGATGTAATTCCTACTTTATCAAATGTTCTCTTGGTACTTATATGGCACTGCAGTAATTAATTCCTACAAACAATTCTTTAGCAATAAAATAGTGGGCAAAAGTGACAGATAAAAGACTGAATAAAGCCTTACTCTTCTGCCTGAATGGAGTCTGCAGGAGCTACATAATTGCTAGGGATGTAGCCAGTCTTTCCTGTAGCAATGGACCTTGCTTCCCACCAGTCTCCTTCCCTGAAATGAAATAGCAATTATTGCTAAAATGCATAAACAATATATCACCTTGTAACAGTTAAAGCATCACGCACTAATACTGAACTTGGATCAAATTTTAGCCAATGCAAAATTAAATTCAGAGGACCTCATCCCAACTAGAATTCAGTACCATGAGCTGTTCTGAAGTGGTTAGTAGTCAACAGAGAGAATGACTCTATAGCATGGGTTCCCAGACTGGGGGCATGTCCCCCAGGGGGGGCGTGAAGAAATTCCAAGGGGGGGGGCACGAGGCAACCCAGCCACACACATCCCCATCAATCCCACCCCAAGTTTTGCTGCTATTTTTTTTGGGAGGGGGGCCGTGAGAGTTTCTCAAAAATCAAAAAAGAGGCATGATGCCAAAAGTTTGGGAAACACTGCTCTATAGTTTAATGATTAAAGTACTCACCTGGGAGGTAGAAGATGTGGATTGAAATCTCTCTGCCTGATTCCAAGAAGGGATTTGAATCCATATCTCCCAGGTCTCAGATGAATGCCTGAATCACCAAGCTATAGACTTTTTTCCTCTTTGGCCCAATGAATATTTAAGTATTATATAAAGTGGAACAAATTCAACAGCAGCACTGGAGAGTAGCCCACCTGGAAAACCCTATAGCCTATTGATTAGGATCAGAGCTGTCTGTCCTGGGGGGAGGAGGGAAGGAAGACAGAGCCTAGGGCAGCCGTCCCTGAGGGGGTGGAGCCTGGTGCAACTCCCCACCCTTTTCTGCAAGCTCCTTCTCCCGAACACCACAAGCCAGCGGATTGCTGGGGGCTAGGGCAGGGTGGCAGTGGCTGCAATGCGTGGGGTGGGAGGAATCCCTGCTGCTGCCCCATCCAAGGTCCCCAGGTAATCCACAGGATAGCTAAAGCAGTCGCTGTGGGGCTCCCAAAGTATGGGGCCTGAAGCAGCTCTCCCAAACCATTCTATGGATGGGATGGCCCTGGTTAGAATGCTCACCTGGGAGGGGGAAAATCAGAATCCTTTCTCCAGAATTGGGATTCAAACTGAGGTCACCCACTTCCAGAAAAGTGACCCGAACACTGAACTAAAAGGTCAGAGTGGGACAAACATACCTGGTTTTGGATGACAAGAACTAGGCTTTTCCAGTTTATTGATAAATTCAAATTATTTCCAAAATTAATCCAAGTATTTTTCTCTGAATTTTTCTTCGATTGTCAAACTGAACAGAATATGTATTTATACAACTCTAATTAGCATGTCAGTGTTGTCCTCAAGCCCATATTTTTGGACCTTTGAATATCACGTGAAAACCTGTCTACTCTGAAATATTTTTTAAGGTATTTATTTCCAATGGAACACTAATTATAGAAGTTGCTGGCAGAAAATACTTACGTGTTGTTTATTATCTGGAATCGTTCACCCTTCTTAAACGAAAGATCATCTGTAGTTCTAGCTTCATAATCATATAAGGCCACAAAAACAGTTACACCACCTTAAAAAGAAAAAAAAAGAAGAAGAGGTGTCTCATAGTAATAGCATTGTAATGTTAAGTTTTAAAAAAAGAAGTCTATAATAGCAGCTCATCAATTTTGCTT